TGGATTAAAAAAGAGAAGTTATATCTCTCGCCAAGACTGCCCAAAAAGAAGATCTCAAAAAACCAATAGCTTGAAACGCAGATGATTGTTGGGGACCAGTTTTCGCCATAGTTATAGTGGGACAACAAAAGGCAGAAACTGCTTGACTTTTGTCTTACCTTTCTCACATGTCCACCACCAAACGATCGGGTCGCTATGGCTCTTTCCAATGTGGATTCCTGGAATTCCAGATTTTTGCCAAAAATATCACGAGGATGATAAGAGTTCCTACCTGTTCTCTCAACTTCGCCAACTCTGTCTGAAATATGCTCATAATCTTCTCTTTCGGTATATCATCATGTCGCCAGCGGCTATTCCGGGTGGTTGAACCAGCATTAGCGGCTTGATTAGTGCCAGCAAGAAGATACTGTAATGATGACTACATCACCATATTTAGCAGCATTTTCTGGGTAAAGATTTTTCAAGTACCTGGTCTTCTCTTGCGCTCGCGGCTCGTTTGAAAGAGTTCTCATCAGGTTCTTCGGGTGGTAGTAAGGCGCTGTTGCTTTCCCACAAGGATTCAGGGGATGGATGTTCGATGCGAACTTCTGAAGGTTACGTTTAATTTCAAGTCTAAAAAATAAAAGTATCAACTTACCACTCGGCCAAACACGACGAGGGCTCAGCGAGCACAGCAGATCTATAGCTTCGGCATCAGAAATCCACCCATAGATTCTACGAAAAGCTTCGCGACCCTTGTCGGTAAGCTTGCTCCAGTGTCGAGGTTTTGACAGCAGTTCGCTCAGGGATCCTTGGGACTGAAATTAGGCATGGGTAGGGTAGCTTTGACATATGTCCAGCAACATAATCTTTTTGAGCGAAAAAAAAATCAAAAGAGAAAAATTTGAGGGAAGGCGACCGCAGGAAGATATTTTTGAAGGTATTGGCAAAAGGTTCTATCAGAAAAAGGCGTGGCATAGGCTTGCGCTAGTCTCACCATCTTTTTGATTCATACCATTCTCCTTCCCATCAGCTACAGCCTTATTATCCTCTTCGACTTCCCGTCTGTGGCATGGGACCTCGATCATATCGATGTCTTCACATGATTCCGCCATCTTCCTCTTCTTTGCCTTCAACTTCTTCTTTTTGCTCACCATTTCTGGAAAAAGATTAAGCTCAGTAAGATTGTCCACAGTATCAAAAAGCTAACAGAATGTTACAGACACGCTATACATTGTCATGATTTGTATAGACCTAAACTAACAAAAGAGCATAAATGAGAAAACGCACTGATGACTGTCAGATTTTAAGAACTCATTTAATCTGAAGCCATAATTTCTACATTCCAGACAACATGGATTACAGCATAATGACAAGCACGCAAATTGGTGTACAAAGAGAGATGAAAGAAAGGTTTTTTGAAATGAAATTCGCACACACCATACATATTTCAGTCGCGGTGGTCTCAAGTGCAGTTCGCGCTTTTCACAGAGGAGGTACTGTAGTCCAGCAAAACTGCCTGTGAGCAGTGAAGTTCGGCAACTTTTTGCCTCTTTTGGACCTTGATTGTGAACCGTACATCAGCTGCGAAGAGAACACAAGGGTTTGAGTTAATGCATCAGTTATATGACCGTGCACATATGAGCA